ATCTTGGATGATTAATATAGGTATAGCACCGTATTATTGGAAGGTTTTATTGTGATTTTAAATGTTCTATTTATTATATACTGTATTGTATTTTGCACTCGGCTTGCCGCATGTGAGCCGCCCTGAGCCTTTTGGGGGGGCAGGATATAAATCAAACTAATAAATAAATAATAAATAAATAAATAAATAAATTCATTTTAATCTGTATTTTTGTATGTTTTTAATCTGTTGTAAATCGCCCAGGGCATCTGTGGCAGTGATGCTCTGTATCCAGGGTGTTTGGGGGGCAACAGTGGGAGGGCTTCTGGAGTTCTAGCCCCACTGGTGGACCTCCTGATGGCACCTGATTTTTGGCCACTGTGTGACACAGAGTGTTGGACTGGATGGGCCATTGGCCTGATCCAACATGGCTTCTCTTACGTTCTTATGTTCTAATACTTTCAGCCATTTTTAATATAGCCATACATGTGACTGAGCTTTCACCAAACCAATGTTCTGTTAAAAACACACACACACAAAGCTGACTTGACCATGCTTGAAATGAAAATTTTTATTGATGTTGACCCTTGGAGTGAAGTTCATCTATAGTGATGAAACTGGAAGCTGGAAAATAGAATCCAGTACTTCCACACGTGCAGAATAACGCATTTTCAATCCACTTTCAACGCAATTCAGCAATGGTTTGCCAGTGGATTTTGCCGTTTCACACAGCAAAATCCAGTTGCAAAGTGGACTGAACGTGCATTATTCAGCATGCGTGAAGCCTCACATGTGTGATATTTGCTTCCAATCCCTTTAACATTTTGTGATAGACCTGTCCTGGCTTGGGATAGCTTCACAACATACAAAAGGGCTGTATAAAGCAGCCCCTTACAGCCTGATCTTAACTGCATTTACGTGGGAGCAAATGCCAGTGATTTCAGTGGGACATACTGCCAAATCTGGGTATTGGAAGCAACTTCCTGGTGGAAAGAGGTAGAGAAGAGGTGCTGAGAAAGATGAATCCAGGCACCCCCCCAACCCACACTCAAAAAGTAATTAAATGTTCCCCTTCAGGTGACTGTGATTCCCTGCTAAGTCATAACTCTTTGTCTGACATATCCCTTTTCTGAATGGAGGAGTCTAACTCCTCCAGATAATTTTCCTCCCCCCCCCATGCCAGGTCATGGATAGGACACAAAGGAATGCGTAAAGAGATTATCAGGATTTATTTCAAGTAGATATTGTTGCCCTTTCATGTGGCTCCCAGGAAGGAAGACGAGGCAGCAGACCTAAAGCATTTAAAGCCATCTTTAGCAGAAATCCTGTTAGAATCACATCTGCTCTCCAAAGGGTCGTGTGGGCATTCATAAGAGTGGGATGCGTATCTGGAACCAAGCATTAGCCTTAGGAGAGTTGGTATCAATCAAATCGCACACTGTAAGCGGCCGGCTACCCTCTGATGATGGTGTTTAAAACCCTTTGTGGTGTTTAAAATGATCAGGGAATTTGTAAATAGTGAATTCTGAAAAAACAAACAAATGGCTTGATAAACATGCCCTGAATAACAGCTTCCCCAGAGACTGCTGGCAGGCCACTTAGGGGAACAGGATGTGGGGTTAGATGGACCATTTCTGATCCAGCTGAGCTCACAGTTACATTTAGGGTTGCCAGGTCCAATCTTCTCCCCGGGGGGGATTTGGGGGTGTGTGTGATGGGAGAGGGTGGAGCTGTCCCCAACGTGATGATGTCACACAGGGTGACATAATCGTGTCAGGGATGGAACACTGCACACACACGCCCCCTGCTATTCTCCAACCATTTAAAGGGAACCTTCCCTTTAAATGGTGGGGGGGGGGAAGCGGGTGTTGTGGTCACCTACCCTGACAGTGTCAAATTCACTGCTTGCAGGGCAGGCACAGGCGGCTCCTGCCTGAAAATAACGGACACCGTGGGCACCTGCCCTGCAAGCGACAAGTTTGCAGCTTGCAGGGCAGACACGCGTGGCACCTGCTCTTTTCGAGCAACAGTTGGGGGTTCAGACAACTTTTAGGGATGGGGGATCCCCTGCCCCTACCTGGGGACGGGCATCCCTAGTTACATTCTTATGGACTCCTGGAATTTATGATGTCAGCACACATTCAGACCACTTGGTACCATGATGAGAAGAAAATATTTGCCAACAACTGGCAGATGGACATTATCTGGCATTTTTTCATCTGCGCCCGGTCTGGCAACTGATTCCCTTCCTGTCTCACCCCAACTTAGCCACGGTGATCCATGCAATGGTCACCTCAAGACTAGACTACTGTAACTTGCTGTATGCAGGGCTACTCTTGAGACTTACCTGGAAACTCCAGCTGGTCCAGAATGTGGTGGTGCATGTGCTTACAAGTACTCCATCTAGAGCCCACATACAACTGGTGCTCTGCCAGCTGCACTGGCTCCAAGTTGAATACTCGATCAGGTTCAAGATTTTGGTTCTAACCTTCAAAGCCCTACATGGTCTGGGACCAACATTTATTCGGGAATGTCTCTCCTGGTACCCCCTCCCCGAGAGCATTGCATTCTATGGATAACAATCTTCTGGTGGTCCCCAGCCCAAAAAGTATTCGTCTTGCCTCTACCAGGGCTAGAGCCTTCTTGGCTCTGGCCCCAGCCTGGTGGAACAACCTTTCTGATGAGATTCGGACCCTGTGGAATCTAATCCAATTCCACAGAGCCTGTAAAACAGAAATGTTTCGCCAGGCATTCGGCCGAGTCAGTGAAATTTCTATCCAAATTAGCCTCTCCCAGTCCCCCCTATCCATTATGTCATTGTACCAGCTTCCACTAACGCATAGGTGGCACAATCTCACTTAGACAAGCTATGCTATTAGCGCCCTAAGTTGCCACTTTATTAGATACATTTCAACGCATCTGATAAAGGGAGTTTCATCTCTCAAAAGTAGGGTTGCCAGGTCCTTACCTTCTGCTGGCGGGGGCTCCAGCCTGCTCTACTGGTTCTTCTAGCGCATGCTGTGTGATGACGTCAGAAGTTGTATCATTGCACTAGGCACAACATGAAGGGGATGCTCTAGCATTTGGCTTAAAACTTTATGGTCACCATCAGGGCTTTTTTGGTAGAAAAATCCCAGCAGGAACTTATTAGCATAATAGGCCACACCCCTGACAGTTCAGCTCATTAGCATATTAGGCCACACCCCATGCCTTTCCTTGGTTTGCCTGGGTGCCCTGTGGCTGCGGGGAGCCCAGGCAAGCCGACCCTTGGAGAGGTCAGGGAAGGCACGAGGAGGCATTTAAATGCCTCCCCGATCCTTCCAGAGCCCCCCGGCCCCCCTGCCTCAAGAGTCGCCAGGGGGGTCACTCTCCAGGCCTTCCCTCTGTAGCCACACAGAGGTTTTGGCTGTAGTGGGCGTGGCCAACTCTGAAGCCAGCCGGAACTCCGTTCCTGTGCGTTCCTGCCCAAAAATAGCCCTGGTCACCATAGAGTTTTTAGCCAAATGCTAGAGCATCACCTGCATGACACATCAGGGTTCTTCGGGGGTGGGGCTTCCCTGCCAACCAGCTGGCTGGTGGCGGATTGGGCTGCCCAAAATCGGAGGAAACCCTCCTCCATCGGGGGGATGGCAACCCTATTAAAAAGCTTATGCTGGAACTAATTTTCTTCGTCTTTAAGGTGCACTGCACTCCTGTTTTAATTCCTAACTGCTTTATCCTCACAGCAATCCTTTACGTAGACTCACCTGTGAGTCAGTGACTTGCCTGGGGTTTCCTGGAGAGCATCACATGTAAGCAGGGTGTGATCTCAGCTCTCTTAGGCTACTATCCAGTGCTCTAGCTTCTACATTGCACTCTTACAAACTTGAGGCAATGCAACAATTTAAGAGAATCCAGAAATATTGACTTGGTGAAAAAGACTTAATCAGACTGAGAGGTTTAAACAAATAAGGCAGAGCCAACATTAGTCTTGGCAATAGTGTCTTACCGGCATCCTTCCTCTTTTCTCGTGAAAGCTCGTGAACATTTGCCCCGATATCATCTCTCAAAGCCCTGACAATGTCCTCCAGAGCGGGGATGTTCTTGCTGTCCAAGTTTATGAAGAATTCATATTCATCTTTGTTGAGCCGGGAAGGTCTGGACTCAATGTGGGTCAGGTTTATACCTTTTTCCTAGAAGAAAGAAGCTAATATCATCAATATTTTTATAGGGACCCAGAAAGTTAATGGTGCATGCGTAGCACTGTATGGGAAAAACACCTTCAGGACAAGAATCGTTGTAAAAATTAATATTCTTTTTGTTCATTCAAACCCCTTTGCATTTAAGGCTTTAAAGACCCATGTGAAAGAAACAGATATAGGCTGCAGTCACGCACACTAAACAATCCACTTCCAGTGCACTTCCAGTGCACTTTCCAACTGGATTTTACTGTATGTACTGGCAAAATCCAGTTGGAAAGTGCATTGGAAGTGGACTGAAAGGGGATAATTTAGTGTGCGTGACCACAGCCATAGTGAGATTGTTTGTGGACTCTGCAGAATGGGATCTACAAATAATAGAATCAAGGCAATGGAGAAATGAATATGGCCCCCTCTTGCCTGCCTGTCAGAGCCCACCAAATCTTGATGGGAATTCTAATGAGGATAATTTATTTCTAAATTATTTGCATATGCATCTTGCTCTTCTTCTAAAGAGCTCAGAGCACCATTTTTATAGCCATGTGTGATCAGAACTGTATTAATATCTGACCCAAATCACTCCAATATTTGAAATGTTCTACATCTGACCAGAGTTACTTAGGACATTAATGAACAGTAAAAAAACTTTGCAGTTATTCTCTTGTCTCCCTAAATAATTTCATTTTTACGGGCAATGAGAGATTCAAGAAATCTGTGTGTGACAAGGTCATTGACCAACCAGAACATCTATCTGATATTCCAGCCAAACAAGAACATCCCCAAAGGCATTTCTGTGCACAAAATGTCTACTTTTGCCAGTCATTGCACTATCTCAATAACGTGTTCATAAGCATTGGTTCTACTTTGCATGAGCAATTTCCTTTTCTTGGGCTGTGACTGAATTAGGGGCAAAATTTTGCTTATCGCTACCACCAGGCAGGGCTGCGTGACCTGGGAGGATAGCAACAGATGGCTCAGGACACCTGCAAGGGAGGAGGTGAACCTGTTATTGGCCAGTGTCTGGAAGGCAGGTGTTGGGGGTGAGGAACAGAATCAAAGGAAAGCCATTCTGCATCCCTTGCCCATGTCATGGATAGGATAGGCCCAGGAAGGCAGGAAGATCATGGAGGTGAGCTTCAGGGCTCTCTCCGAAAGATACATCCCAGTTTGGAAACCCAGCGTGCAGGGATGCCATTTCCAGGGAGCAACCCTCCCTATTTCACACAATCCCGTGATTATTCTGCAGAAGTCAAATTTGTGTATAAATGACTACCACTGTAAACAGTCAAGGATTCTAGTTATACACCCCAAACCACAGACAAAGAGGGGATAACTGTATAAATATAATTGTGTTAATAACAATGATAGACACTAGTTAAGTGAAAGAGTTGTAAACAGCCTCTCAGCAAGTAAAGATGACTACATAATGTGGAGACTGCTATACAGTAAATGCTATTAAAGTATACTGTTAATCTTTAACAAATTCAAAAGCAGGCTTTTAAACACTGCTGGCAGTGTCCCCCTCTCACAGAGAGAGAAAGAGAGAGAAATCTAAAATCCCTGTATTGTCAGAAATAGAAAATAAGCAATGCTGAATGTCCCCTTTCCTACATTCTTAACAGTGGGCACTATGGACAAACTTAACTTGTTTGGCCAGATACCAACCCAATAAGTTGAAAAGGTCAGAAGCTCATTCAAATCCTGTAGTTTAGGAAAGAGGGCCCTCCTCAATGTCTTTGCCTCCACCCCAGAAACGCATTTCACTCAACTGAGCCCCGAGGTCAAGTTGTTTTAGTTCCCTAAAGGTCTGCATCATATGCACAGACAATGCTTTGTGTTTGCTATTTAATTAGGCGCTCACAAATCATGAGAGGACCCAGCATTAGGGAAAGTTAAAATTACTCCAAGCAAGATTGATAATGATGGAGACCAGACATGGCGAGTCATAGTCTGCTTTAAGTGAGGCTCCCTCAGTCTCATCACTGGAATTAAGGCTTTGGATTTATATGGCTGACTGGGCCAAGGGGATGGACTTCTGAGGGGCAGCAAGCCCTGATTTCTCACATCACTAACAGAGGTAGGCTAGATCATACCTTCAAAAGCAACAAAGATGAACGTTACAATCCTCTCCTGACCACCTTTCAGCTGAAGCCCTAGGATGAGTTTTCAGGGTTCTCTGGGCCAGTGTAAAGCCATGGCAACCTCACTGAATAATGGCAGGGTGAGAAGAAGGTGAGACCCCAAGTGACCTCTTTGTGCAAGAACTCATAGGCTCATTCCAGAGGCCAGTGAGTGATTAGGAGACCCCACAAGGGAACAGATGGCCGATACAGCTGCTGAAATGGAGACCTGAAAGGAGTATCTGCTATTGTTCAAAAAGTCATAGGGCAAAAGAGGGCAGGAAAGCAGGCCTATATGAGCAGACCAATCAGAAAGACTTAATACATAGATTAGAGTTCTATGATGGAAGAAATGTAGTAAGTAATATACTACAGGAGCAAAATGATTGCTATAATCCCTGTGGTTCCATATCATACTCCTCTCATAGAATGGGGGAGTGCATATAGATTATTCCTTATGTTCTTCTGCCCTACCCTAAAGTAACATGTCATTTCCCTGCCCCATTTAGTCTTCACATCCCATTCATGTTGCCAAGGAACAGTGGGAAGCAACCAGAAAGGAGGCAGCAGTGCACCATTAAAGCTACATAAAAACTGGTCCATGTATGGCTTTCTACAGTAGTGGCCTACCTCACAAGGGTATTGTGAAACTGCGCGTTAAGCTGAGAAAAGCACTTTATGTGTCACAAGTTGAGAATTTCAGTTTATGAAGCTGGTCATTCAAACAGCCCTTTATTTATCTGATACACTTATACACTGCCTTTCTTGCCATTGCATTCAAGATAGGTGGTGATAGTGATTGATACGTGTGTGTAACTTGCGCTACATACACATTTCACTCGCATGAAGGTTTGCTATAAATTCTGTGCCCAACAATTAAGTGGACCTGTGTACCTACTAGATGAGCCCAGATGGGGAAAGTTGTGAGCTGGAGGTCTTGTTGGAGAACTGATCAAATAATTTATTATAAAGCTCCACCTGAAATGAAGATGTACAAGAAGAAAAATGGAGAGCCCTCAACCCGTTATTACAGATGTGGGGAAGCATGCTGGAATTCAAGCTCATGAAGTCAATGGATCCAAAACAATCTGCTCACATCACAATAAAGATGTGTGTCTTTAAACCACCACCAACTGTCTTCTGGAGGGAAAGCTGAGTGAGTCTACTACAGAAAAATCAAAACTTCCTTTGGGTTTTGAAATATAATGCAAACTTTCAAGCCAGCTATTAGGTATGTGCTGCTACCACTATCTAGCGTAACTTTAACCGCTTTACCTGGGCATCTTGGGATCTTTCCCAATGGCAAGCCTTCATCCTAGTGCATTTATACTGTCTACAAGTATTATGCAGTGCCCCTCACTCACTTCACACTGGTCATTGTACTTAGTGGCCATGATAGTGAGAGTCACCACAAAACCACTCACTCTAGTAATTAATGGGTTAAACCAATTAAAACATTAAATGTAATGCCATTTTCAGTAAAATAATAAGAATTACACATAAAGGACAAAGCTGAAGATGAAATTGAAATACAGGATTATTATTATTATTATTATTAGTAGTAGTAGTAGTAGTAGTATTTCCTTAGATTTATATCCCACTCACCCCCTGAGGGCTCTGGGCGGTTTACATGTTCCATTAATGCCAATCCTATAATTTATTAATTCATCTTGTCATCATTTAATTGGGTTGTCACAGCGCACCTTAAATCGGTCACCAAGCATCATTTTGAAGGGACCAAAATGCCTGTTCAGCCACGCCTCTTGGCTCTTCCTGCTTCCACTCATCACCTTCAGTGGTCACAATGGCCTGTTCACCTGCCATTGATGGAACATCTGCGTGCTCCACTCTGATTAATTTATTTCATACTATTAGAAAGCCTTTTTTTGGGGGGGGGTATAGCAGGTTCACAGCTCATCAGGTAAAATAACAGCATTATATACATTTTGTTACAGGTACCTTTAAGTCTAACAGATTTATTGTGATAGATCAAGAAGGGTAGCCGCATTAGTCTGTCTGTACCAGCAGAAAAGCAAAAGCTGCTCACTATCTGAGAATCCTAAAAGAAATCAACCCTGACTGTTCCCTGGAAGGCCAGATAATGAAACTGAAGCTCAAATACTTTGGCCACCAAATGAGAAGGGAGCACTCCCTGGAGAAGACCCTGATGCTGGGAAAGATTGAAGGTCAAAGAAGACGGGGACGGCAAAGGATGAGATGGTTAGACAGTGTCATAGATGCAACGAACATGAAATTGAGCCAACTTCAGAGGATGGTGGAAGACAGGAAGGCCTGGTGTGAACTGGTCCATGGGGTTGCGAAGAGTCAGACTCGACTGTGCGACTGAACAACAAATCTGAGAACAAGTTGTGGTTCAAACACAGAGTTCAACCACCATCACTAATTAGAAAGGGAGCAGAAAAGAGCAAGAGCCCAGTAGCACCTTAAAGACTAAGAAAATTTGTGGAAGGGTATGAGCTTTTGTGAGTCACTGCTCACTTCTTCATATTTATTGTGACACTAGGAAAAAGGCTCATTGTGGAAATAAATACAACGAGCTCTAGAAAGAGGCTCTGGGCGGGTGCCCCAGCCTTGGACACTCAGTGTCAATTTGCTGTGGCGACCTCAGCAGGGTATAATGACACTGAGTCCACCATTTTCTCCAGAGGAACTGATCTGTGCTACCTAAAGAACAGTTGTAATTTTGAGTGATCTCCAGCCCTCACCTGGAGATTGGCAATGATGGTTCCCCAGAAGGGAATGGTTGGTTTGGAGGGTGAAGTCTATGGCTTTGTACCTGTCCGAGGTCCCACACCTCCTGAAACCTAACCCTCTCCAGGCTCCATCCCTATGTATTTAATGCTCTGTATGTTC